AATATTATTATGCATGTTTTCCATGAAATATAATTGGACATTTAGAGGCATCAAAAATCAATGAGAAAAATGCATGCCACTTAAGTAGTCATTTTTACAGAGTATAGCTTTTGCATGCAGCCCGAAAGAAATTCGTTCAAAAGCCGGCATCCTGAGGTAACTGAGTTATTATAGACTTATACTGCAGGCTGATTAGTTTTACAACCATACTTAATTAATCTTTTCGAAACGAAAACGCATATCGGAATTTCAGTTGACATTTCATGAGTTAGCCCACCTACTGTATGTTCCAAAAAGGTAGGAAATTATTTAACAGTGATAAATGAGCCCTAATTATTGCGCCAAATGTGTTGTAGAAACAAAGCCACTGCTACTGCAAGCAGGAGGGAACCGCAAATAGACCCACGAGGGACGATGGATAAAAGCTAATTTTTGAATCGACTGAGATTATCCCTTATTTTCGGGAAACGAAACTCCCACCGTGGAACCCTATCTGTCGCTGCAGGAGGAAAATGCGGCTGCGAAATTCAAGCAACACACCAACGGTTTCACTTTTAATTGCAGTAGGTGTGGAATAAGAAGAGCACTAAGGAGCGAAGCCGTATTTGAAGGAAGTAAGCTGACACTTAGGGAGGCTGTAAGGATATGTTATAATGCCCTCGAAGGAGTAAGGGTAAAAAGATGTGCTGTAGCAGTCGGTGTACATCATGCTACTGCAGTGGAATGGTATGGGATGTGTGGGGACGTCTGTTCTAAAGCATTAATGGTAGAAGCTAGCCAGCTAGGTGGACCGAGAGTTGAAGTTCAAGTAGACGAAACGCTAATAAGAAAAGGGAAATATACCAGAGGGAGGCTAAGATGACAGTACTGGATAATGGGCATGTATGATACCCAAAATGCCATTTTTGAACAAGTGAGTAATCGCACGTGATCAGTACTGAAGACGGCGATTATGAAGTGGATGGTCAAGGGCAATGTCATAGTGACAGATGAGTGGAAGCGTTATGCCCGTCTGCCCACAGACGGATATGAGCACTACACTATGAAATAAAGCCGCAATTTTTGACCCCACGACGGGTAGACACATTAATGCAATAGGTGGCTGGAGCCGCCTGAAAAGAAAGCTGCGCGAAGGTGGTATAGGCGCATATAGACGAAGTACAATACCGGCTCTGGATAAATGTTAGGGCAGATAACCTAGCGGATGCATGGGAGATCTTCGTGCGGTCCATGGCCAAGGCCTACCCGGTAAACCCGGGAACTGAACCGGACGACGACCGCCGAGCAGCAAAACGCATGAGGGAACCTACACAGGCGAATTGAAAAGGGGGCGACACAAACCAAGGCAACACACGGTGAGTACTATTGCAACCGGATGGAAGCTTATGGTAACTGTACAAACAAAGCAGTCTCCAATGTCCGATCTTTTGTTTTGCCAATGTACCTCAACGGAAAACAAGTAAACGAAGAGGGGGGGGGAGGTAAAAGTTGGACCGACCAAATGGAAGGTAAGTGTCACAGGCAAAGCGTTACGTGGGTGATGATGTAACCAATGGTAGGAGCAAAGAAATCGGGGGTGAAGGGGGAACCAATGAACGGGAACGGAATCCAAGCGTAAGACTAAACCGCGGTGCAGCGCAGATAGGGTCCCGAGGTATATGAGCGGGAGGACGACATCGCTAATGACAAATGCAAATGTGGGATGGCACAGAAGGGCTGAAAGTTGGAAAGCGAATGGACTGGTCGGAGGTACCCGAAGAAGGGAGTCAGTGAAAGGCACAGTGGCTGACGAGTACGGTGTGTCGCTGAGTAAATGCAAGGTGATGTAGTTCATTGCCCGGACAGCAGAGGGTGAATGGGGAACGAATAAATCGCCAACTTTATCTAGCGGCAAGTGCGGATTAGGGACACGTAACCGCTAAGACATCGCGTGTGTAGCCTACCGCAAGGAGACTACCATGCAGGAAACCGAACTGCCAGAGGTGGAGGAGAGGTAGACGCAAGCAAAGGATGATAAGGAAGACGTAGGCGGCAAACGAACAGGGTATGCCATCGCAGGCGAGGGACACTCCAACGGCGGCAAACAGCACCCACAAAGGGTAACCCAAACCCCAAAACTAAATCAACCGTAAAACGGCATATGAACCTCAAATCAATCATAAGCGGGGCAGTTAATTGAACCCTACTCCTAACCTCAATGCTGACACTAGGCCTAACTGTAGTCCCAAGCCCGACCTTAACCCTAGCTCCAACCCAAACGTTAACACTATCCCTAATCGTGGTCCCAACCCTAACCTTGGCCCTTACCCTAACCTCAACCCTAACAGCAAACTTAACTAAAAGCCTGGCCGTATGCCTAAATCCAACTCCACATCCGCTGCAAAACTTTGCAAACCCCATATTGCATATACTTAATGGAATGAAGAAATGAATGTTTTTCACTATGAGGAAAGTATACCACAAGAACAAGCTTATGTTAGAACCAGAAGTTGCACTTCAAGTATAAAATCCGAAGGAGAGGTAATTTTCTACCAAATGAGTACAAGAATACCTTCGCGCCCATTCTCTATAAGGTATATTTGAATTCGTAAAAGCATGAAAGATCGACGGGACAAATGCATAATACTTAAGCGGTCATTTACCAAATGTGGCTTTGGCTGGCGATCGGATGGAAGCTCATTAGAAAGCAGGTATGTGGAGATCGTGCTGCATGATAATGAATATTACAACCCCACCGAAATAATCCCTTCTAGTCGGAAGCACATATCGGAATCCCGGTCAACATTTCATGAGGTAGGTCGCATACTGTAAGAGTAGCTCCGGCTAATGCTACCGCTCAACTTAGGGACAAAGCAACCGCCAAAATCTGTCTTCTTTTGGAAATTTGTAAGTGCTGACCAGCGATGCTAAATAAAGGACTGCAAGGCCCGATCGGAGTTAGTGAAAATTGTGCACAAAAGATGTCAGTACGGCTTCGGACCGGCCGCGGATGTTCTAAAGATTTGAAGAAGGAGACATGATCGCTGGGACAAGAGCTTTATTGGTCTGACGTTGCGGATTCCCGCTCGAACCCATCATCAGAGACAAAAAAGCAGAAACGGGTGATTTACGCACAAGGGGCTGCAGTATTTATAGGATGCAGTTGCCATGCTACCGCATACCTATGATCATTCACGGCTCCCCCCTTCATCAGAGATCGTTGCACGTGGTGTGATGGCCGACATTCACATCGTTAATTGCTGCGTTGGATGTTGGTGTGATGTCTGCTCGACCATCTGACGCATCGACCCTGGTGTTGGGACAAGTGCTCACATGTGCGCTCCCCATGTGGCTAATTACTCCGCCTAGGGGAAGTCTCAGCACCGAGTATGGAATGGGAAGTTCATTGCACTTGTTAGTGGAATGGGGGACCAGTAGACCATGATTTAAGCAGCTCCTGGCTCACGCGGGTGTCACCTCTTGCGAGAATTTCGGCCTCGTCGAATTTGAATGTGTGGCTGGATCTCGTCGAATGAGCCGCAACTTGAGAGTTGGCGTCATTTCTCCACACTGCTGCAGCGTGTCCGGCCATTCTCGTTCGGAGCTGTCTTCCGGTTTCTCGGACGTAGTTGTTTTGTCCGCAACTGCACCAGATCCGATAAACGACTCCAGACGTTTCTAGCCGTGGCAGCGGGTCTTTCGGTTCCATTACCTGACGCCTGATGGTTGCCTCCGGTCTGTGTGCAACTCCCTTCTTCGGCTATCTCCGACCAGTCTATTCGCTTTCCAATTGTAGTTCGGCTATCTTGTCTTCCGGCCCACTGCAGTGCGTTTCGACACGCCGATAGAGCGTCCTTACACAACTGCGTTTGTAGCTGATTGGGTGGTTGCTGTTGATGCAGGTACTGAACTGCATTCTATAAATACTGCAGTCCCTTGTGCGTGAATCACCCATATCTGCCGTTGTCTCTGATGATGGATTTGAGCAGGAATCCGAAACGTCAGGCTAATAAAGCTCTTGTCCAAGCGATCGTGTCTCCTTCTTCAAGACTACTTCCTGGGACTCGTCTCTTCGATTCTATTCGTCCTAAAGATTACTTTGCCAAAGGTTAAACACCATTATCCCTGTCAGCGTTGTACCGGGGTTTGGTTGCTTTTTCCATCGTACTTCATCTAGCTGCACCCCTTTGCTTGATGGCGCTGTCGTATAGTGGCTAAATTTGCTTCTATTACTTGAAGTCGCTTATAGTAAAATGTGAGCTGAATCCGTACTTAGTGATGGTGGTGGTTGTGGCTTCGGCCCTGGCCCCCCTAGAAGCTGCCTCCTTTTGAAAGCACTGACTGCGCAACAGCCTGAGTCCGAAATGAACGTTGGATGGCCAGCTGGGTGTCACATTCGACCGCGGTCGGCGCACTTGGATCCTGACTATGCCTTGGACGCCTGATGTGCTAGATAACGCCCACACATATCTGCAGCCTGCTGTCTCGCACGACTGGAAAGGCGGTAAAAGCTGGCTTTAAGGTTAAACTCCCTAACACAGGCCGAACTATCTCCGATTTGTCACACGAATACACATTCCAGGTCTTTCTGGACTGCGAAACTTTGGTCTTCTGTCACCTTAGGCCGGAACTTATCCTAAACAGCTGAGACACAGCTGAAATTCCAAACTGGCTCAACCAGGAGCGCGTGGTCCCTCTGAATCCACTGAAGCTTCTTAAATCAATGCACTTTCAACTGAATTAACCAACACTATCTCGGGAGTCATGGCATAAGACGAAAATGCAATGACGGTTACTTTGACGGCCAAGTGTCGCATGGAGACTAGGGTCCCGAGCAACCGACTCTGCGTTTTACAGCTTAAAGATGTCCCTAAGTAACGGTAAGGGCGCACCAGGGGAGACCGTGATGAAGTCCTTGTGGTGGGTAGAATAGAAATGGAGACTGAGAAGATTACGGTATATAAACGCACACAAATATTATCTATACAGCGGTAATTCAAGAGTTGGTGATTGTTCATCAATCAGGTGGGTCCTGTATCCACAGAAGTGGTGTTTGCCGAAACAAGCCACTGTTCGTACACACGACGCAAGTGTTCCTGCAGTTCCACATTTCGAGAAATCACTCTCCAACGATCCTTCAGGTCTACAGGGGTCCTTCGGGAGGATCGGAAGTACCTCTGCCAAATGTTAGCCCATGAGGGTCTATCGACTCCATGAGCACCATGCCACAGTTTTATGGACTCTGACAACGTCCAGGGTATCCGACGTCGAGCCGTCCCGGTAGTAGAGGCCTGGCTGGTATTGCCCAAGTCAAGAATACTTGCACGAGGCGGAGATGGAGGAAGCGGTGGCAATTCGTCAACTTCGCTTCTCCGGCTTGTTGGCATGGCTGTTTTACCAAGAAAAAAGACTCGTCAGGCGTTTAGGAGCGGTTTCCAGAAAGGTATAATGTAAATTGCAAGGTATACCTGGCGGTGTGTCCGGTGGTGTAGATAAGTTCTGCAGATAGTCAGTCTGAAAATCGGCTGACTGTAGGCGGCGGGTGCCTCTTGGAGGTTTGAGTTGGTTCGAACTTGCACGGTCCTCCATACTGGAGTCTAGGCGAAAAAACAGAAACCCCTTCATACAAATGAAATGCAGCGTACTCGCGCCAAGACCACGCAAAAATGATATACTCGGTTGGTCTGTCTTAGATCAGGTCTGTCAGGTGAACATCTATTTGACCATGAGGGTTGACGAGTTGCAAGGAAGCACAAATTAGGGCGCCTGTTTGAATGCAAGGTTGGGGGTATTCGCGGCGTAAAATGCCATGGATTCCAGCAACAGGGTCTCGTGGTAGGTTTCAGTCAGTATATTTGGAGTAAACGACAGAAGCTCTGAAAACTCCATTTGGAGGGTACAGATGTAAGGGAAGATAGTTAAATTGCAAAACTTTTGCTTGCAGTTTTAGTAAGGAGAATTCATAAATCTAATAATGGAACATAAATGCGAAATGGGTATGGCATTCCCGAAATAATTGCGAGAAACTTTGTTCACCTCATTCGGACTGTGAAAACTTCCATATGGGTTAAGTTTCAGGCACAAAAATGGTCTGTTGAAACCACGTTAGTAGTATATATATGGTCATTTCAGTAATCCGTCAGATCAGGCTTCGGCAGTTCGGGTTGCCTTTCAGCAGATGACGTTTCTCTCAGGTCGTCTGAAGCGGAATTGTGCTGGTCTAACTAGGGCCCCCTATTCACTGATGACTTGGTCCGTCCAATTTTTGCATAACTGGTTTCCAGGTCAGCGCAGAGACTGGGAAACTTGCACCCATCCATTTAACCGACTCGTACAACTAGTTGCCTGAAGGGTGTTTGCTGGCAGAACCTAAACAGTTGCATGCTGAACTATTATGGGCTCTCTTTGGCTCCATCGCTTAGGACCTTATTGCATTTATGACCCTAGGCGAATATTACGACGCTATCTACCGCTTTTCATACGCCAGTTGTCCCTGTAAATACACGAACGGAACGGCGCGACAAATCGACATCAGACTCTGTGTGGGCGGGGTGTGACCAACAGACGAAGAGAGCCATAATCTCCCGGCTGCATACACTCTTGAACAACACCGCGTTGTCGTTTCTGTGGCCACTATTGTCGGACGTGGGAAGCAGGAATGCACAAGAGATACTAGGGGTTCGAGAATTCATGCACGTCTAAAGTGGTATTTAATCTGCCAGGCTCCACGCGGATGACTAAAATAGGGCACAAGAACAAAGCCACTCCGTGATTGATAAAGTTGTCACGTTTATAATTCTCGTTCTAGTTGAATAACTTTTATCACCCACAGCGGACTTAAGGGCCAGAGACCAGTGACAACTAAAGTCACGTTTCAGTCTACTGAACGCTTGAGGCATAAAAGAACCTGTGACTAATGGTGGCCAGAAAGATTGCGAGTAGAAATTAAAGTGGGAGAGCTTGAGCGTAAACAACTACTCACCAGTTTGTACTGCCTTTGACCGATCAGAAGCGACGTACGCCTGAAGAAGTGGAAAAGACGAAAGAAGGGTCACAAATTAGAAAATAGAGATATTTGCAGAAATGAAAAGGCACTGATGTCAATATATAATTTAGAATAAGAAATTCAGCAGACACAAGAAATGCAAGCGTATGGGAAAATAGCAAAAAGGTGGCATGAACGTGACAGAAATGAGGAGACCAAATACTGAGTACCTTGTAGAGGGCCGAACGAAGTCGATGTACTAGCGTACTTGCATAGTACAATCCGGCCCACTGCATACCGGAAAAGGTCTTTAGACGTCAAGCTGCGTTTATCGGAGCCACGCTTGTGTTTGCACTCCAACCGGTTATGGCCACTACCGGCTAAGCCGAGTTTCAAGTCGATGACGCTACGAATTAACACGGTCCACGGCCTGTCAGTACGTCCGGGTTAATAAAAATCGTCCCGTCGGTAGTTCATTCCCCGACACGGAACTCCGTTGGGTTCCTTACCCTTTTTACTTAACCACGTTTACTTCGTCATAATCAAGGCGGTGGTGTCAACTCCGACGGGGAATCTAAAAGGAAAAGTTATAGACGAGCTCCTTTTCGGGTTGACAGAGAACATGATCGAGCCCTCTGCGGCGACGACCCTTTACAGCATTGCCGGCAGGCGTCCCCAATCGGACGCGAAGTTCCAAGTTCGAAACGTAGTATATAGTCAGCAGTATTCTCCGGGGGAATCATATAACGAACAACGCCCTGTCAAAAGACCGTAGTTCGCAGATGAGAAGCATGAAGTCTTTATTGTAGTCTCATATAGTCAACGTTTTGTCTTTCATTGGACTTTTCCGCAAGAACAGGAAATCCCCGTGCCGAATGAACATCCTGCGTGCCAGTCAGATGTGACGGTCAATATTTTGACGGTGGTTAGTCAATAACAGAAGGATGGAGGGAGAAAATATGGTTGACCACTTGAGCCTCCAGTCATCCAGAAGGGGAGAAATGTTAAGCGAGATAGGGCCTTAAGGCAGTACTTTGGGTTCCCCGTGGTTCACATTAGAATCGAACGGGTACAGGGGTGGACTGCGGTGAGTCGACGGAATGACCAGGCAAGACGATGTCGTCAACTCAGTCAGGATCCGAGGCGAGATTTTGCCTTAATTTGACATGTTTATAGCCATGGGATGCCACGGACATAACTGTATTTTTTCGAATAGTTAGGCGGGACTGCTGAGGGAATACAATTTTCCTGACAATAATGTCGACGGTGGAGCACTCGCACTCGTCGCAGTAAGCTGGAACACATTCGTTTGCATGAGTACTGGCTGAAGTCTTTCCGGTGACAGTGATTCAATTAACGTGGCTACAGAGCTTTGCCTTGTCTACCCTCTCGGGCAATGGAGGCGGTTCTCTGAGATGGACTCAGAGCGCCAGGACCGTTCTTGCGGACTTCAGATAGTGAGACTGAATCAAAAAATGATGAAGACAATGGCAAACGAGACAGCTTGTGTCCTACAGGGCCATTTAGTGTGATCTGTCTGAGGAACGCGAAATCCTTCAGACCGTCGGTCAGGAACTAATAATGAGATTACATAGTCCTCATGTTAGTTTCCTTAGTTGCATAACCTCAACCACTCCTGGTTTGCTTTTAAACGAGGAGTGACTGCATATGCAGCGGTTTGAGCCTCGCGTCATATTGTGCCGTCATTTTACGACAAAGAAGCAGCGAACAAATTACTTCAGCTGTCTAGATAACCGGGAAAATGCCGCAGAAAGGCCCAGAAAATGGGATTGTTAGAACACTGAACAGAAAGAGAGTCGTCCCTCTTAGAAAGACTGTGCAGCATGGTTATAAGCTTGTTTACGTTCAAGGACCCCGATAATGTAGACGACAGGCTTAAATGGTTTTGCGTCAGAAAAAAATGGACAAAAACATGGTCCAGAAATCTTAGTAATGGCGCAGATAAGTCCCAGAATTCTGGGCTCAGAAATGTTATTTTTACAGGAAAGATTAACTCTAGAGACGGCAAATCAGATGAACATACTTTGGCGCGAGCTTTAATATCATCGAAGCCGGCACGCACACGGAGGTGGTCAAGTGAGAAGGGGTCTAACGGATCTGGTGGAAGCAAGATATTAGTTGGGTTTGCAAAGGCCGAAACTAACCAGAAGCATTCGATTTGAGGAACTCGGCCAGTTGTGGCAGAGTGACTACTAAGGGTATGCACTCATTGCGACTGCCTTGGTCGGTGTTGGCCAAGGGGGCTCCTTCCGTGGCTTGTGCTGAAATTGTCATACGCCCACGTTAGATCCCTAGAAACGTGAAAGATAAAAAACAGGGATGGCGTAAAATGAGAGTAAAGAACTGACAGCTCAGAGAGTAGCGATCGATAGCCTACAAAATAATAGGGACCCGAGGGATGCGTGAATTTGGCGTCAAATTATGGCATCGCTCGGCCCAGCTGTCGGTAATGATCCGATAAGCAGAGCGAAACAAAAAACCGAATAGTAGTACATAACACAGCCAAAGTCACTCTGGACTTCAGATCCATTCAAAAGTTGGGAAAACTGGTGAGTGGTAGTCTCCCTAAAATGAATGCCGTATAAGCAACTATTTCCGATACTCCTCCGCCGTGCGCTTATTTGCTTCCTCTGCCCCCTAGTGGGCCAACTGAAGTGCTCCACGAGATTGCCTAATGGACAGGAGCCTGCATCCGAAAGTGGAAGAAATAATCAAACAAGGGTTGGCGACGTTCGCTACACATCTTAGGTGCTCGACCTGTCCAGCTTGGCCCAATCGTATAATTTTTTGTCTACCGAAAACGGCTCAGAGACCGTAGACTTTATGTGGACGTACTGGCAATAAGCAAACTTAAGAATGCAGAGTTGCTTAATTATGGCCCTCCTATAGTAATTTCGGTTGTGTGTGGACGATGGTGAAGAAAGCAACAGCCATCGCCAAAAGTTCTGTCGGGCACGAAATTCTGTCTGTGTGAAAGTTAACTCCGCAGGAGCAAGCTGGGATAAAAATGTGACCAGATATTGTCAACGACAGTAAACGGGGAAGCGAAAAAACCTTGGAGGTGGAGAGCGCCATTTCATCTCATTCCTTTAGGGGCAAATTAAATGTAGGTATTACAATACATACGAACTAAGTCAGTCTCCATCACATATAACGGCCATTTGACACAAACTTGAGGTCATAAATTTCGAGACCTCTCATTCAGCTGCACACGGTCATTGCATAGTTATATTACAAGGCAAAACTGTTCAATCAACGATCGACCTAGAGAGCTAAAACGTGATAGGTAACCTGTGAACATGGGTCTGGTATGCGGGTGCATATGGTGAGGGGGGGGAGGGGGAGAGAAGTCATCCAAGTATGAGAGAACTGGTGCGGCGTGATTTGGAGTGCAACGTGCGGGGAGCATTCAGTCATGCCGGGGAGAGGTTACCTATCACGTTTTAGCTCTCTAGGTCGGTCGTTGATTGAACAGTTTTGCCTTGTAATATAACTATGCAATGACCGTGTGCAGCTGAATGAGAGGTCTCCAAATTTATGACGTCATTAAATTCTGCATGCTTTGTCGCCTTCGCCTTGTTCAAATTTATCCCGGGAAAACACTGCTTCAACAAACTTGAGGGTTGATGATAAGACCGACCACTGCGCATTTAATCAGGTCCGTTGTAGAAACCAGAAATTCGGCCGTTTAGGGGACAAACGCCCTTAACAATAGCACCACTCGGCCACTGTAACAGCATTATTAGTGTTGAGAGTAATCTCCACGTACATCACAAGTTTTTCACAAGGTAAATACTCCAACTGATTAGTCTTTATGATGTCGCTTGTTTGGAACAGGTTCTTTGTACGCAGCACTGCTTGTATCGCTAATTATACTTTAGCCGACTACGTCCTAGTAGCAGAAGATATCGAGTAGATATATAGGGGAATAGCAATTTAGCGAGATATGTATGTCTGCCATGTACAGTAGACAGCCTAACTCATGAAATGTCAGCCGAAATTTCGAAATTCGTTCCCGTTTCGAAAAGATTAATTAAACAGGGTTGTGAAACTAATAATCATACAGCATAATTCTATAGTAATCCAGTTATCTCAGGGTGTCGGCTTTCGAATGAACTTCTTTCCGACTGCATGCAAGAACTATACTTTGCAAAAAATGGCTACTTAAGTAGCATGCAACTTTCTCATTGATTTCCGATGTCCCTAAAAGCCCAATTATATTTTATGGAAAACATGAATAAAAATATTCATTCTTCCGCCAATTCGGTAGAAAATTACGTCTTCTTCCAATTATATACTCGAAGAAAGGGTATGATTCGGTTTTCAAAAACTTTTCCAATTTCCGAATACATTTGAACCCGACCTGTCGTTACACTTGCATCCAGGGTTTCCAAACTACAAGCCGTATATTTTCTGCGTATGGAAAATCATACATTTCTCTACAGTATTAAGAGAAGACCATGTGGAGTTCATAAAATTTAGCGGTGCATTTGAGCCATATTGTTAACTTTACAGGCCACATTAGTAAATGCAGACATGACATTTTATGAATGGCCATTTCACGTATTAAAAAATCGCACAAGTAGAAACTTTTTAAAACCGAATTATACCCTTCCATTTCTACCGAATGAGCAAAAGAGTGAATATTTTTATTCATGTTTTCCATAAAATATAATTGCATTTTTAAGGGCATCGAAAGTCAACGAGAAAATCGCATGCTACTTAAGTAATCATTTTTTGCAGAGTATAGTTCTTGCATGCAGTCGGAAAGAAGTTCATTTGAAAGCCGATAGCCTGAGGTAACTGGATTATTATAGAATTATGCTGTATGATGATTAGTCTCACAACCCTACTTAAGTAATCTTTTCGAAACGGGGACGAATTTCGAAATTTCGGCTGACATTTCATGAGTTAGCCCACCTACTGTAATTGGTTACTCCGCTTAGGCGGTCTGACATTTCAGTGGTTGCAGTTCTTTAGTCGTATAGTAACGTCCCTTGAACTGAACAGGGTTGTTTGGATGTCGTGACACTTTTGGAGCGCGGATCCAGGATGAAGATGATGTGACCGCGTGTTGGTAAAAATAACCGGTGTTCTGTCCCCACATCCCCGCCGACTCCTCTCCTGCCGTTATCGTTCCGTATCTCCTGCTCTACGTCGGCAGTTTCTACGGCCCCACCCCGCAGTTGCCGACAGCGCTACATTCCCCACCAGTTGTCCAGCTGGTATGTTGGTATCGCCCCTTCATCCAGACGGATCACCACATCTGCTGTAATTTTCATCCCGCCCCCTTTGCATCGTTTAACATTTCCCTATGTACCTATCTCGTTGCTCTTAGTATACGCATCCGCCCCATTTGACTTCTTCTACTGTCAGCTTGGAGGAGATCAATGACCCCTTTCACAACTCTCTTCAGATCAGATTGGCCAGAAATCATATCTAGTGCTCCACGTTACCCCGTGTGTGCTACCCTCAATGTGTTCGGCCACTACAGTATTGCAATATCGCACGTGCGCGTACGCGCCACTATCTCGCGTGAACGGCGTGGGAGAGGTGACGCGACTGCTCTTGCACTTACTTGCTTTTATTGATCTATATCAGTCCACCCCTGCAATTCCGTTGCTAACAATATGTAGGCGGGGTGTCAGCGGTGGGTTCACGTAATGGTCGTGGTGGTCGCTCACTTGCTTGCAGGTGAGACTGCGCCTAGCGTCCACTTGCTGGCACGCAACTCTCACCTGTGGCTCCACGTAGCTGGGCTCTGCTCAGCGGCCACACCCCGGGCAACCGTCTCGACCGGCGGGCTAAA